CACAGGAGGAGGAATCCAAGAGAGGGAGGGAGAGGAAAAATACACAGAGTGAGAAAGAAAAGAAAAAAAGCATAGGGGAAAGACAAGGAGAAGAATGGCTTCTGAGAGGTGGATTCATGGAGTCTATTCACTCTGTATGTCTCAGGCTGTAAGAACACCTATATCTAAAAGGCAGCGAATGGAAAGAGACAGAGCTAAATGACACAGAGGGAAAAGAAGGGCGAAGACAAAAATGAAAGTGGGGTTAGGGAAGAAATACAAATAGAAAAACAGACATAAAAGACAAATAGACTGATAAACCAACAGAGAAATCCACACACGGAGCGACGCATGCTGCAAAACCGTAGAAGCTGGGCAGACGTACAAATATAAGGTGGATAAAAAAACACTGGCAGCGGACGAGGGGAGGGGAAAAGGAGAAGAAAGAAAAGATGAAGAGAGTAGATTACTCTGCTCTGCACTATTCTTCATTTTAAGCAGCTTGTTGACCTTTCCAGTCAAGCCTGTAGGTGTAGTTCACATTCTGCAGCAGCGACCGCAGTAATTTAGGTGAGAACTCATGCAGCGGGGTGGTGAGACAGAGCGGAAGGAGGAGAGAAAACAAAGGAGGAATAAAGAGGGAGACAGACGGAGCGGAGAGATAGAAAAAAAAAAGAAGAAGAGGTGATGTTTGAAGGCACAAGGCATTGAGCGCTTCCAAATGATTGACTCTCATAACGTTGTGTTTTATTCCAGCTCAGATTTACTGTCCGTTTATGGGGATTGTTATTAGAGTGCCCAGCTTAGAGCGCCGGGGCTTCGGGGTGATACCTCAGTTTAAAGCTGCGAGTGGGAAACCAGGGATGGAAGAGTGGAGGTACATAATTCACACTCTAGTACCACCCTGGAAAGAAAGAGGCAGGCAATCACACACTGGGCAATCACAAAATGGTCGAGAAACGCTCCATCAAACGGTAAAACTAGCTGTCAGGCAAACCTTTAAAAGCTTGGGCTGCCACGGGCCGAGCTGATCACACACCTGGGCTCCGGCACCTTCTACCCCTGGTTTTTATGAGACTGTGCTGCATGTATACAGGGGAGAGTCAACAGTGTTTTTATTATATGTTTCTTTGGATTTTTGTGAGTGAATATGAAAATGTGTCAAAAGGGCTACAAAACCAGTGACTGCGTGCAGTGTATTACTAAAGCCAATAGCTCTAAGTTTCAACAGAAAATACAATTGTCAGTCATTTTAATGCTAATAGTAAGTTTAATAGTAATATCTAAAAATGTGCACTGATAGCAGTTATACATGCAGATATTAGCATTTTCTATGTTATTTCTGATATTTGGAGATGGCATAGTTTCAACAATTCTGTTTTCTTGTATGTTCATATCCAACTTTTAGATGAAACGTATCAGAATCAGAACTCCTTTATTAGTCCTACAACGGAGAAATGTACATTGTTATTGGCAAAAGTGGCATCGCTGGTAAAAAAGGCAAGCAATGATAAAAAAAGAAGAAAAACACACATCGGTAAAAAAATAAAGACAAATAAGTACACAACCTTGGCTAAAAATTGAGTAGGAGCAATATAAAAAACTAAGTGACATCAATAACATATTTAAGTATGGAGACCTTATACAAATGAAATGTTGGGACATTTATACGAAAGTATGCTTTACATAAAAGTGACTATTGCACAGTATTTGCTAAATGATCTACTGTATATAAGTTGTGCACTTAAGTTAAAGTTAAACTGATTTCAAATGATGTATTGGTCAGTATAGGGGTAGACATGGCTCTGGGTTTGGATATAAGCATGTGCCTAATCAAACATGACAAAAATAAATGCACAAGTTACATTACATTTTTATATTGATGGATTTGCATGTAGGAATGCGTGTCTACATGTGTGTGTGTGCGCGTGTGTGTGTGTGTGTGTGTGTGTGCGTGCGTGCGTGTGTGTGTAAAAAAATCTCTAGATACATATGTTTAACGGTTCAGGGTTTATTTGAATAAATACCTTATAATTGACTTTAAAGGCTTTTTTCGTATTATTGTGTCTCGGTAACAGTTATGTAATTTGACAAAGTAAATTAACATTTGAAAAACAAACAAATACAAATATCATTGGAAAACTAAGAATCTCCTCCTCTTAACAGTGTATAAAGTTCAGAATGTGTAAGAGTGAAATTGTCAGTATGTGGTCATACTGCTAAAAGACTGCAAATCAAGTAAAGTAATTTCTGGCTATTTCCATTTAAAAAGGGGTGAACATGATGATTAATTTAACCATAATGTGATTCTTTGTCATAAACCTATGTATATACAGTATGTTTAAGTGATTTAAGCTTATAACTTAAAACTGTGCTTTCCCCATACTGCTATGCTATTACTATTACTAACCATAACCCCCTGGCTGTGGGTGTGTGTGTGTGTGTGTGTGTGTGTGTGTGTGTGTGTGTGTGTGTGTGTGTGTGTGTGTGTGTGTGGTGTGTGTGTGTATGTGAGTGAGTGAGTGAGTGAGAGTGTGTGTGAGTGAGAGAGTGTGTGTGTGTGTGTGTGTGTGTGTGTGTGTGTGTGTGTGTGTGTGTGTGTGTGTGTGTGTGTGTGTGTGTGTGTGTGTGTGTGTGTGAGTGAGAGAGAGAGAGAGAGAGAGTCTCTATATGCACATAATCATCTGTTAGCATTATTGTTATTGCCAAACAGGTAATTGAAGCAATTTGTGTTAAACGGTTAACACATTTGGTCCGGACTGATGACTCAGAGGAGTGTGAATAGCTCAGTGTTGTACAAGCCCTTTCTTCCTCTTCTCTCTACATGTGTGAAGCTTCATTATCCAGTTCCTCTTCGCCACGAACCCCATTTTAACCTTTTATCCTGGATTATCATGTGAAAAGCTGCGATTTCTCATCAGACAGGCTCCTCAATTGGGAACAGATGTTTTCCCCTCCGTGGGAAATGATTCGCTCCTTAGTGACAGAGGGTGGCGCCCCCTGCTTTATGACTCACATAAAAAGCCTCTTAAACGACAGCATTCACAGGAAATATAGGCCTATATTAATTCTTTAAATTTGGGGCCAAGTGGTATAGAAATAATTACATAGAGTGAGTGAGCTTCTGCCGGCACTGTGAAAGTGTCTTCAGTCAAACGGCAGCAGAGCTGAATGTCTATTCAAGGAACGATATTAAAGCTGTGGCCCCAGGTGTAATGACTATAACACACATATCGGAGAGAGCGTCAGTGTGTGTGTCAGACGGATCCTACATGTTCTGAAGCATTACACCATCACATTAACCTTTCCCGGATGGACTTATAAAAGGAAAACCCTTGAAGAGAAGGTATCTGGTTAAGCCCCTGTCACACTGTCCCGAAGTTGACACCCGACTATGGAATTGTGAATTTCGCACGAAGATGGCCCCGAACCACACACGAAGGCAACATTTACATTACATTTAAGACATACAACTGCAACGAAAGTAACAAAAACAATTATGTTGCAGTACTATGATACTGTACTGATATTTTCAGACTTTGTTCTTTACTTTCTCCGTCTTTATATGTAGAAGATATTACGTTTTCTCCGTCATGTTGTTGTTTCCATAGCAACAACAACTTCCTGTCAACTCTCCTTCAAAATAATAATATATTATATCCTTTTCAGTTTCCTTTGTGACGAAGATGACACGATTCGACAAGATGCCCTCACGAGTGCCTTACGAAGTTGCCGCTCACGAAGTTGCTGCCGGAGCCTGAGAAACTCCACCGACGGTCATACGATGGCTTAAGATGCCCTCACGAATGGCGCGATGTTGTTACGATCAGAGCCGAATTTGAACATTTCCTTTATCGTGTGTCCATCGGGTGTCAATTTCGGGACAGTGTGACAGGGGCTTTATAGAAGCTAGAGGAACAGCGGTTAACAAGGAAGTGATGTCTAGACCTCTAACCAGTGTTGGGACTAACCCGTTACCAGTAACGCGTTACTGTAACGCCGTTATTTTTGGCAGTAACTAGTACTCTAGCGCAGTGGTTCCCAACCTTTTTTGAGTACTGTACCCCCAAAGCATTTCAAGCCAACCTAAAGTACCCCCTACTACGCAATCAATCGTGGTGATCCCCAGGATATATTAATAGTCTATGTGTGTGTGTGTGTGTGTGTGTGTGTGTGTGTGTGTGTGTGTGTGTGTGTGTGTGTGTGTGTGTATGTGTGTGTGTGTGCAGTGGCAGCACATATCAGACCCGGGCCGGGGGGCGGGGCCTGGATACGGCCCTGTGTGTAGCTAAGGTGAAACCTGGGATTGGAAGAAGGAGAGAAGTGACGAGGAGAGATAGAGAAGAGGAGGATATTTGTGTCTGTGTGACCCAATGCGACAATTAATGTGACACTTAAATCATATTCAATCATAACTAATCATATACATTATAATAGCCATTGTTTAAAGACTTAAAAAAAAAAGTAAGGTAACTCACCAATTAATGTGACACTTGAGCCTGTTTCTCCCTCATCAGTTTTGTGAGTCTGGGGGAGATTGTTGCAACAGCTGTGACCAGGTTATTCTCCAAGTTGAGTCTGTTCCTGTGTTTAGTGTTGATGTGGGTCATGGCGGAGAATGTCACCTCACACAGGTATGTGGACCCAAAAGGCAACAGTTCATTCAGGGCATGTTTCCCCAATTCAGGATACTCCTTCTCCACACCACACCAGAACTGTGTCAGTGGTGTGCTTGAGTACCTCATCTTCAGGCTCCTATCTGAGGACACATCTATGAGGTCTTCTTGCAGTCTGGCGGGAATGCTGCTGTTAATGCACGTCACAAATGGATTACGCACCCAGTCCAGTGTGGATGACTTGTTGTCAATATCAGGGAAGTAGGAGTTGAACTCATTCTTGAGCTTGGACAAATGTGTGTGTACTATTTTCACAATTGGAGCTCTGTCACATTCACCAGTAGCAATGTATGCGTTCAGCTGCAGGAAACAACTTGTATCCCCTTTTTCACATTTGCTCTGCCAGAGCTTCTCCATGAATCCACACACTTTGTCATACAAGCTAAGAACATTTGTGTCTTTACCTTGAAGAGAGAGATTCAGCTGGTTGAGTTTGCTGAAAATATCAGAGAGGTATCCCAGCCGAGCTACCCAGTCAGCGTCGTCGAACATAGCCACAAGTGGGTGTGTGTGCTCCGACAGAAATGCCCTCACTTCATTGCGTAGCTCGAACAGCCGCTGTAACGTCTTCCCTCGGGATAACCAGCGGACGTCAGTGTGAAGCAGGAGCTGTTTATGTTCTGACCCACCGTCTTCACAAAGTGACTGAAACAGTCTATGATTCAAAGGCCTGGACTGTATGAAGTTGATCAATTTTACGGCATCATTCAAAACATCATTTAACTCTGGACTCATTCTCTTGCTAGCTAATGCTTCTCGGTGAATCATGCAGTGCGTCCATGTAACGTCAGGGTTTACCTTTTTTATGTGGGCCATTAATCCATTTACTCTGCCGGTCATCGCCGCAGCGCCGTCTGTGCACACATGAGAGCAGGATTTCCAATCCAGCTTGTGTTGAGAGAAAAAATTGTCAATAACTTTAAAAACGTCCTGTCCGGTAGTTCTCCCCGTGAGTTTCTTGCAAAACAGAATGTGCTCGTTCATCTCCAAAGTGTCTTTGTAACGCACAAACGCAATCAGTTGTGCTTCCCCACTGACATCCGTTGATTCGTCCAACTGCAAAGCGAACGTACCAGACGCTTTACATGTTTCCACCACTTGTCAATTCCCATGTCGTCGATCCGATGGCACACAGTATTATTTGACAACGGCACTTTCTTCAGGACATCAGCTGCTTTCTTATTGAGCATAGTTTCTGCAAGAATTATAGCAGCAGGCAAGATTAGCTCTTCGGCTATGGTAAATGGCTTTTTCGATTTAGCAATGAGTAGCGACACGGCATAAGATGCCTCCAAGGCCTTGGTTGAGACCGATGTCGCTTTCTTTAGTTTTTCTTGGCTTCCCTTAAATTCAGCCAGCTTTTGGTGGAAAAACTCTGCAGGCTTACCCACACAGGCGGGATGTCTAGTACTAAGGTGCCGATGTGAATGGGATGGTTTCATGCTATTATTAGAAAGCACGTCGCCACAGATGAAACACATTGGCTGCGGTGGCTCTGTAGTTGTGGCCGTAAACCCGGAGAGCACATAATGTTCACCAAACTGACGATTCTTCACCTTCTCTGTTTTCATTTTCTTGAGAACGGGTTCTCCTGATTCAGCAGTATCACCTGTGCTGTTGTTTCTGGATGAACCAGCTCGACTCAGCCATTGATCCATAATGATTATGTTAACAGAAATGTTGATCTCAATAAACACCAGCGCATTCACTTGATAGGATGTTGATATTTTGCTAGCTAGCAAGAAAACCAGCGCGCCACTACAATGATGATGATAATGTAACACCTGACAGTCCGGCGGGAAGCTGAACGCCGCGCCAATAATAATATATAGCCAGCAAATTATTACTTAATTTGAATGCCCCCAATTTTGGTTACATTATTACAGATTATGCATTATTCATTATTTGGGTACAGTTTTCCTGTAACATCTTTAATTAAAAAAAATCTAAAATCAAATTAATTTTTTTTACTTTTCAAAATCTTTTCACGTACCCCCTGGGGACCACCCACGTACCACTAGGGGTACGCGTACCCCCGGTTGGGAAACACTGCTCTAGCGCATTACTTTTTAGATTCAGTAACTCAGTTACCGTTACTACATGGTTCGTTACTCCGTTACTGCGTTAGTTTTTTTTATATATATAGTCAACAGCCAGGCGAACAGAGATGAGAACTGTACTTAAGTACTTGAGTAAATGTACTTAGATACTTCCTGTGTCACATGCGGAGACGGGCTGTGGGCGTGTTTGTGTTGTTTACTAACAAGACTATCATGGCGGCGGCGGAGCTCAAGTCTAGTTTCTCCACCTGGAGATATTCTCACTATTTCACTTTTGTCGAGCACAAAGAAAATAAAGTTTCTGTTAAATGTAAGTTGTGTCCTGGCGGGTCAAAGATCCTATCTACTGCCCAAACCAGTAATTCAAATCTCTTAAAACAAATGCAAAAACAACATGCTGGGACGAAGCTAGTAGCTAAGACCACAGAGACTCAGCCGACGCCACTCCACCTCCACCTAAGCAACAGCGGCTGGATTTTAACCAAGGGACTGCTGGCCTAGGGAAAAGTCGATAAAGCCATTGCACGGTATGTTGTAGAACACATGCAGGCTATTGCTACAGTGGAGTCACCCGCTTTCAGGGAGCTAGTTAGCATGATACCATGTCCGGGCGGCACACGGCATATGGGACGGAAAACTTTTTCCAACTACCTGGAGAAAGAATATACAAAAATGGAAAGCCAGCTAATATCGATGCAATCCAGATTGCATATAATGCATGTCAAGTTGATCAACAGATTGTATTATTCTCCAATGCAATAACAGTACTGAAATGAAGGCTATAAGGGCATTAATGGGAGCCCTTTTTCCAAGTAACGAAAACGTTACTTTTCACAGTAACGCATTACTTTTGGGTTTAAGTAACTAGTAAAGTAACTGAGTTACTTTTGAAATGAAGTAACTAGTAATGGTAACTAGTTACTGGTTTTCAGTAACTAGCACAACACTGCCTCTAACTACTCAAAGCCTACATGGCTAGTGTTTTCTGATGCTGTACTACTACATCAGTGTTTCCCACAGAATTTGATTCTATTTGTGGGGGCTTTTTTCAGTTACAACATTGTTGTTTTTGAACCCTTTCATGCATTGTGGTCACTACTGTACATTAGAGACTGCTAATTTAATGCTGTTTTATTGTATATGCATGCATGGGGTTTCGGATTGGTATAGTTGAACATCAGGCACAGTGGATTTTATTATAATATTTGTGTATTGTATTTTATAGTTTGTGCATAATATATCATTTTGTTAATTGGTTTGTTAAACATATATTACTTAAAAATCTGTTTAAAAAAATGTCTCATGCATAAAGATCAAAATATCCTTAGTTTGTTGTAATTCGTCCATGAATGAGTTAATAAATCACGCACTGATGGAACATCACTATATTGTAATTATTTATATTGGCTTTTTCTATCCAAAATGTTAGGGGTCGGTCAGGGGGTATTTGGCTGAGAAAATGTTTCAAATGTTTTTTTTATGAGATCTATTTGTGGCGGACGATATTTAATTGTGGCGGCCCGCCACAAATGAATCAATGTATGGGAAACACTGTACATACTACTACTGTATGATTTGATTGTGCTTGTCAATAAAGTTGGAGGACTGACGAGAAATACAAGAATGGTCCAAGTAAAAGCAGTATAGGTATCCTGACTTTAAGTCCCTGGCATTTGTCAATATCAATAAACAGAATCCTACATATCCCATTGTGCAACCGCACTCGATTAAACCCTTCCTGTCTGTAAATATTCATGTTTTTCAAACTCAACACCCATATTCATATTCTTTGTATTTCAGGACACCTGTAATAACATCTTTGATCTCTTTAATAATCTTTTGGGACATTCCGTTTAAATTCCATCCATCCCTTCATCCATCGTTAACCACTTATCCGTGGTCGGGTCGCAGAGGAAGCAGTTCCAGCAGAGGCACCCACATTTCCCTTTCCCCAGCCTAATCAACCAGCACTGTCTGGGGGATTCCAAGGCACTTTAAGGCCAGCTTGGAGATATAGGCCGTGTCTCAATTCAGGGGCTGCAGCCTTCGGAGGCTGCATGTGTGGACCGCATACGTCACTTCCGCCAAAAGAAGGCTGTCCCAATTTATTTTTAAAGACGAGACTCCTCCGAATGTGGCGCACGAATGCAGCCTACTTTTCCCCAATTTGAAGGATACATCTGATGTACTTCGCGGTCTACCATATCCCAGGGGGCAATGCGTGCAGGGAAGAGTGAGTTTTTTTCAAATGAAATGGCGGTCCGGTCTCCCCAGCAGAGTGGATTTAAAAGCAGCAGCAAGCGGAGGAATCACTAATAAATGTGAGTATTGGGTTTTAACTTACTTTAAATTAACTAACGTCACACACTTCAAACCCAAGGGGCATTACAACGTACATTTTCGTTAAATAATATGGATAAATATGTGACGTTAGTGACGCTAACTAGCTAGCTGGACGTACTGCACTGTTGGTTTACACTTATTCTTAATTCAATTCAGAAGTTTACTAAAGTCATACAGAGATCTTGGCTCTGTTATAGATAAGTTACACTTTATATTACATAAATAGACCAAAGTGAAAACATTTAGACCGGTATAGCCTACAGTACGGTGGGATTTATAAAATGCTACCCTGACATGCATGCTGTTTGCTTTATTTATTTCTCTGACATATTGCAATGTTTATTAAACTTTGGGACAACATTACAACCTTTTTATTCAGCTCATGCTGCTTTGAGGTAAGGCAAAAAAAAAAGAAGCCTATTTTCAATATTTCCACCAGATTTGATCATCTTTTATTTAGGTTAAAGTGTATTTAATGTATCCTAATCCCATAATAATAAGACAATCACAAATTGACAGCAGCCTTTAGCTTGATGTTAGTTTGTGCAGTGCTATCAAAGGGATGCAAGTGTGACTGTCACTTAATCTCTTTAGTTTTAAAAAAAACAAAACATCATTTTTTCATTCTTCATGAACCCTTCCAATTGTGTTTCCGCTCAAAGCACAGCACCGAAACTGCGCTGGTAAAAATCACCAACGACCTCCTCCGTGCAGCTGACTCTGGACTGCTCACCATCCTAATCCTCCTTGACCTCACAGCTGCCTTTGACACCATCTCGCACCCACTACTTATCAAACGTTTGGCAGACATTGGGATCACTGGTACTGCACTCATGGTTTTCATCCTACCTCACAGACAGAAAACAATATGTCCGTCTCAGCACCCACCGGTCAAGCTGCTCCACTGTCTCACATGGTGTTCCTCAGGGGTCAGTATTGGGTCCACTCCTGTTTATTATCTACCTACTCCCCCTTGGCACTATCCTCCGTCATCATAATGTCCATTTCCACTGTTACGCCGATGATACCCAGGTCTACATTTCCAGCAAACCCAACACTGCCCTCCCCCCAACCTCTCTCACCAACTGCCTCCAGGACATCAGGAGCTGGATGAGCAGGAACTTCCTAAAACTCAACGGCAGAAAAACCGAAGCCCTGCTGGTTGGCACCAAAACCACCCTCTCCAAAACCTCATCCTCCCCTGCCTCCAACCTCATCATTGATGGCTACTCCATCCCCTTCTCTGGCCAAGTTAAGAGCCTTGGTGTCACAGCTCCCTCTCATTTTCACCTCACATAAATAACATCACCCGGACTGCCTTCTTCCACATACGCAACATCTCAAGACTCCCGCCCATCCCTTTCTCAATCAGTAACGCCATCCTCTCAGGCATACCCACCAAGCTCATCAATAAACTACAAATCATACAGAACTCTGCAGCCCAGATCATCACCGGCACCAAGGCCTCAGAACACATCACCCCCATCCTCATCCAACTCCACTGGCTCCCTGTTCAATCCCGTATCAACTTCAAAAACCTACTGCTGACTTACAAAGCCCTACATAACCTGCCCCCCCCCTATCTGGCTGACCTTCTTCAAGAGTACACCCCCTCTCGCTCCCTCCGCTCCTCCTCTGCTGACCGTCCCCACTCCACGCCTCGTCACCATGGGTGCTCGGGCTTTTAGCTGCACTGCTCCCAGACTCTGGAACTCCCTCCCCCCGCACATCCGGCAGTCAGACACAATCACCATATTCAAATCCCAATTAAAAACCTACTTGTTCAAATCTGCCTACTCATTGTAGTGCTCCCCATTATATGTTTCATTTGTGTCCACTTGACTGTCTCCTCCATGATTTCCTGTTTGTGTTTTTATCATGTTCTGTTGCCTATTAGCGTTTTCTTTCTTTTTTAAACAAATTGTACGGTGTCCTTGGGTGTCACGAAAAGGCGCATAAAAATAAAATGTATTATTATTATTAAATTATCCTTTAAGGATTCTTAGTCTGAAATGCTGAGTTAAATGTGGCAATAATACTTTTGCAACCCTGTGTTTAATATGATTCAAAGTACTTAACGTCTAATATATTGCTTTCCTGCCATGTTAACTATGTTTAAGCACTTATTTGTTTATTATTTGTTTATTATTAAACTGATATTATACATATGTATTATACTCTTATAAGATGTATGTAGATAGTATAAGAAATGTGCAGAATGACAGTTTAATGGTGGAGTATACACACATTGATGT